CTTCATGATTGCGGATCATTTTTCTGGTGTGAGTTCATGGCTGTGAAGCCGAATGCTCCCTTGTTGAATTCTGGTGTCTTCAGTCTCGGCTCTTTCTTGTCTATCCCTCCCATCTCTCTCTCTTTCTCTCTGACTTGAATGACGATGTGTTGTGGGTTTGTCTCTCTTGTGAATCAAGGTGAACTCTCGTGATTTCCCCGCGAAGAAAAACTTCTTCCGGAACTCGTCTATTAGTTTCCTGGGTAATCCCCAGATGCAAAGAGCTCAATCATCTTGTCTTGTGAACGGTGGATGCGTGTGTACAATCCCTCGATTGATTTCTGACTTGCTCGCCCTTGTCATTTTCGCACCTTCCATGGTGAATGTCTGTATAGAAATGCTTGTATTTCTGCGATTGATTAGACCCAGAGCTCGACGGGATTTTGTTCGAGAATGCAAGAGTGTTTAGATCTGTAGTTCTGAATGCACTACGCATGCCATCTGCCTTATGCTGCACGACATCAACAGACAGTCTGTGGGACAACCTCGAAAAAGTTAGGCGCCTCGTGTTTTTGTTGATCTGGTCTGCTGAAACTGAGTCGCGGGTTAGTCCATCAGAACTCCAACCCAATTAATGCATGATTGTGCGGGTTCCGTGAGATGCTTATCCCGTGTCCAAGGGAAGGAAGATACTAATTAGTTCTTTTTCGATTGTGCTTTTTGATGACGTCTCGAGGATTTGTGTAAACTCCGTTTGACTAATTGATATGTGGACTAATGGTCGTTCCTCGGTCGGGTGCCAACCTTCCGTATCTCCCTCGCCGACGCGCTCCTTCCCTTACAACGAGGAAAGGACACATGTATGCGAGTGAGACATACGAGAAGCTGTTGCACGGATCAACGGACAATATTACTTCCCTCCTGAAAATCGTTATTCCGGGTTCGTGGATGCGGGCTTTGTCATTATCGATACGCACTTCCCACCCTACTCAGTACTGTTGCCATTTAACGAGCCGATCGTCATTCCGTGGACGGAAGTGGCGCCCCATCGGCCTTGAACCCTGTGCACTGAGTGTCAGCGTTTCGATCGCTACGAATCGAAGGGCTTCCACTACCGGATACGGAGTGAGGACGAGCACAAGGAAAGAGCCACGCGGCTGAGACCATCCACGTCAGACTCGGAACTGACCAACGAGCGACATCGGGACTTGATACGGAAACGAGATACGTGAGAGTACCGAAGCCCTTCCGCTCTAAACGAAGATCCGCAGCGAGGTGGAAAGCTCGACAATACTTTTTGGATTGAATTTGGATTTTTCTCTTTTCGCGCCGTGCCCGCGCGCGC